AAGGAATAGACCTTGATCTATTAGACTTGTTAGACTTCTTAGGAAGGGGTATTGTGATAATGGATTTACCTTTGTCTTTGCAACCAGAACTCGAAGGAGTTCCTTCAAGATGACTCTCAGTAAAAGAAGACTGAGAGAAAAAAATGTTAGGAATGGAAGAGACGAAGGTGCCAAACTTAAGCATAGACCTGTCTGTAACACGTTCTTCCTGATCATAGGAGAATCCTAGACCAATCGTTATCTTGGCGGGGATCTGAGCGTTGATGATCTCAGAGGCTTTGATATAAGCTTTACACCATCCTTCAATGGTAACCTTCTCAGCCTTAAGTTCAGCGATTACCCGCTCACGTTCTCACGCTCAGCGACAGCTTTTTTGCATTCAACGGTGATGGCTTGGTTTACAATAACCTGATCCTTAAGATTTTTCTCAACAAAGGTCAGCTCTTTGATCTTAGAATGACAAATATTCAACTATTCTTGAAGATCAACATTAAGCATTTTTGCTTTAGATTTGCCATTGAGGGCATTGTAAAGATCCACCATCAACGTATCTAGTGCGGAGAGACTAGAAGAAGAAGATGGTTCATTCAGGAAACATACCTAAGTAGTAGAAGAGGTAGATGGCTCAGAAGAAGTAGATGCTCCTAAAGATTCTTCATGTGCATCTTTGGCCATCAAGCAAAGATAGGCTGTATCTTCCTCGTCAGAAAATGATTCATCGGATGAGTTAGCCCAGTCATGCTCTTCAGCGACAAGGCCCTTAGCCTTTCGCTGGTTGTTTTTCACCTTCCTGTACTTCTCCTTCAGTTTTAAGTACTTTTCATCCTTGGTCCTGAAGGAGGACGGGGTTTTGGAAGATGGCGTCGCAGCTTTCTTCGATCTGCATTCACCTGCAAAATGTCCAGGGCGATGACAATTGTAGCAGACTACTGAAGCCTTGTCTATTCTTTCAGACTTTGGCTTTTCCCTTATGGACAGCCGAGGAGATCTATGGTAGTTGCTTTTGCTGGCGAACCTCCTGAAAGATTTAGTCAAGAGGGCCAGGGATTCATCAAAATCTGCTAGATCAGATTCTGGAATATCTTCATAGATAGAAGAGTCTATCTCTGTAATAACAACATGAGGAAGAGAAGAAATAAAAGGGGTAGAAGGGGTTTCAGCTGAAGAAGCTTTAGAGATCAAAGCTAAAGGAGAGCTTTTCATTTCTCTGGAATCTTTGACAAGATTCCTCTTCAGTTGACGAGATTGCTCATGGTTAAGCAGAATCCCGTAGAGAGTAGAGAGAAAAAGAGAGGACATGCCATTGGACATCTTGAGACACATGGAAAAGATGTCCCAAGACTCAGGAAGACATTCTAGAAACTTAGTTAAAGTTTCAGAATTGGAATATTCCCTGCCTACAGCCCTTAAATCAATGAGTAGATAATTAAAACGTTGATGTACTTCGGACAGCGTCTCAGACTTTCCACATAGAAAGCTTTCGTACTGTCTTACTAAATTGATCTTTCTGGTTTCTTGAACCTGAGTGGTTCGTTCATATTGAACACAAAGTGTGTCCCACATGGATTTAAAAGTTTTGAGCTTCATCACAGAGTGATAAATCTCGTCAGGAAGAGACATATCTATTATAGACCGAGCGCGTGTGTCTATAGCTATCTTCTTCTTGTCTTCATCGCTCCACTGATGAGGGAGCTTTGGAATCTGTTGTTCAGGAATCACGGCAGTCGTAGCTGTTGCTAGAACAGCCGGAGAAATAGCAAATGGTACATATGGTCCATTTTCTATGTAATGTGGAATTTMAGGATCCACACCTTCAAGAAAGAGGGACATCCGGTTCTTCCAGAGACTGAAGTTGTCACGGACGAACCAGGGAGTTTTGGTAAGAGAACCATTGTCTTGTCTGTGTGTGTTTGTAATTTGCAAAGCCATTTAAAAGTTGTAAAGTTATCTAGAAAAAGAGATAAACAAATATAGAAAACAACCAAACAACTTAGAGAAGATAAAACACTGCTCTGATACTACTTGTTGGTCCCTTGAGGGTCTACAAGATAAGTAAAACAGTTTGTAGAAGGGGGGGATGAATACAAACACAACATTTTCAAATTAAAAATGTATATTGATAGAGAAGATCAATACAAATTTTACAAGACTGTTTGCGGAAAGATAAATGTAAGAAAACCTATCTAAACAATCTTTGGTTACATACAGATTCTTAGCAAATGAGAAAAGAAATGCTGTAAAGAAAAGTTCTTTTACTTAAGCTCTAGAATGCTCAAAGTAAGAATTAGGTTTAGAGAGTGAGTTGCGCGCACTCTGCATGGAGAAGAGACACTTCTATTTATACCCAATGCATTAAATGTTCATTTAATGCAATATGGTAGGGTTAAAGTGCGTGTCAAGCCTTAAGAGGAAGGTTTGTCCTTTGCTACAGTGAATAGTACAAAAAGGACTATTCATGAGCAGACATCCTTACCTAAAATTGGTGGGCAATAGAGTCGACTAGTAGGCTCTGTACCGTACTAACTATTAGAAAGGGTATGGTTTTGTCCTTTGTGTGTATAAGGACAAGACAACAACAATCGTGCTTGGCAAGCTTCTTTTGATCGTTGAATGCTGGAATGACATGGAAGTCTCTTTAGCATTTGCTGAGGCTCGAACAGTCTTCACACATGTGTAGACAGGCTTGTAATCACTGAGTACCGCTTCAGATCACATACTCGCCAATATCTAATCTTCAGTTTCAGTCTTCGATGTTAGCTGAAGGTTCTTTGGTGTGAGTGTTGTCTTCTTGAAGTATCGTTGTCGCTGATTGAATTACAATACAAGTTCTTCAGCGATCACTGAACAGGTTCAGTGAAGATCGCTGGATCTGAAAAGACAGAAACATAAAATACTTCGTATAAGTGAAAATGGATTATCATCAAATCACTGAGAGAGAGGATCAACAACTATGATGGTCAATACAAGGGGTCCCCAAAATAGTGTGAGAACTAGCCCTTTCAGCGAGTGTCTGAGTTCCATCTCTGCCCAATAGATCACTTAGAGTATCTTCGAACTTGGCTGAATGAAGATATCTATGGAGAGATGATGGATCGCAAGATTCGAAAGAAAATGCTCAAAAGAAAGATTTAAGGAGAAGATGTCCCTGACTGCATCAACTTCGACAATCTAGATTAGAAAACCTTTCAATCTTGTAAAACCTTGTATACCTTTTATCTCTTTCTTTTGGTGTATAGCTTTTATGTATTAAGCCTACCTAAAACCAATTGTAGTTATTTGTAATATTTTGTCTTGAAATATATTTCAATAAAATGATTGGTTCACTGAAAAAGATCCCAAAAAAATGGGACTTATACTTATACTTATGAGTTATGAGTTATATTTATTTCTTACATTCTCTAACACCTTTCTTGTCAGTGAATATGCTCTCAGTATTAAGTTCTTCGTATTATGTAAGTTTATTCTTTCCTTGTAATCCTTTACAATTAAAGTAAATTTCCATAATAAACTTTATCATTGAAAAAGATCCCAAAATAATAAGAAGAGAGATGTATTTTACTAGTACCTTTTCCTTACTATAATACCTAAGAAATTTTCTTTATGTTGCTTTGTTATCATCAAATAGGGGGAGACTGTTGATCCCCTCTCTCAGTGATCTGATGATGATCATTTTTATCTTATGAAAAGTACTTTCTTTTTGTTCAGTTTCAACGATCATCACCGAGTCTGTTCAGTAATCGCTGAACAAATATTGTATATCTCATAGACAAGTATTTCTCAAGAAGACAAAACTCACACCACAAGAACCTTCAGTTATATCGAAGATAAAGCTAAAGACAGAGACAAGCAGTTCGTGATATGATGCGGTTTCAGTGATAACAAGCCTGTTTACAAATATATGAAATCTACTCAAGATTCAACATACACTGAAGAAACCTTAGTGCTATTCCAGTGTCAACGATCAAATAAAGCACTCGTATGGAGTCACTTTATTGTCTTCAAACGTGCTTACCTACTTTGTGAAAGACTACTGTTCATATACGGCAAAAGGCTGTATATTTGAAAACAAATGACAAGTCACCTCTAGAAGCTTGCCACGTGCCTTGTACTATATGACTTGCATTTAATCAATGGGTATAAATAGTTAAGAAGCTCTTCCTTATCACTACCAAGAAGCCAAGAAGCATATATCTTGAAGATCAACTTTCTACCCAAGAAAGGACTTCTTCTCAAGCACAGACTTCTTAATCTTTTGAAGTTTTCTTTACAATTTAAGTGAAGAACACCAACTAAGCTCTTCCTTTAGCGAAATTATTGTTTTTTCTTTTAGAAAGTCTTTTCTTTCTTGTTTTCTGTATCTTGTGTGTTCCCTAAATTGTTTTAGATAAGTTATGTATCTTATCTTATTCTGCAAACAGTCTGTAAATTATGTATTGATCTTCTTTATCAATAAAGAATTTTAAAAAGTGTTACATTTAAACTCTTGTAGATCCATCTAAGACCAACATAAGAAACATAGAGAGATCGAGACTGAATTATATTGAAATTGAATCAAAACAGGAAGCAGACGTTGTGCCGGAAATATTATATTATAGTATAAAAAATAATTTTATAAATATTATGGATAAAATTATTCATTACATATGTTTTGGTTGATTTGTATCATTTACAACTATTATATGATATAAAATAATATCAAACAGAATTCACAGACAATTTGATCATTATAACAGTTTTGTATTGTCTTATCCAACTTACCAAACGCAAGACACAAGACAATTAATTAGTCATATATTGTTTTAGTCATACCAAACATAGGACAGACAATCCTGTCCCATCCAATTCTTTCCCATATAATCTGCGTACCAAACATTACCCCGGTAAAATTTATGATAAAGCAAAAGATGAAGGACGATTGATGTAAATCCCTAGAAATGGACAAAACTATTGGCCCACGTACCAAGATATATATACGGTTTTTTCTTTCGTATTTCCCGATTTATTTACGAATGAAACTATAACTCCGTAACAAGCCGCCGCGACAGCCACCACCGTTACTGCCGCTCCACCAACACCAGTTTCATGGCTGCCGTGCTATCAAGAACAGCTCCTCTCCGTCGTGCTTCCAGACTTTTCTCCTCTTACGCGACGTCATCTCGTCTAACACTTCACCTTTCCAAGGAAATTCCCAAATCACATCTCCACCGACCTCTCCCTCAGTCGGTTCGTCTTCCCTCGTTTATCTCTTGAAACACTCGTATGGTTATATTGTAAGATTGTTTTACTAGTTGTTAATTTTTCAGGATGTAGGATCATTTACAAAGCTCCCTAGGTTTCTATCTACTAATGCTAATGCGGCTGGTGCTGCTGCTAATGCTCAAGCTGATTCAGCATTGAAAGGAACGGCGTCAGATGCTCACTCTGATCAGGGGAAGCAGTCCGGCGATTCGCATCATAGTTCAGAGCAGGGAAAATCTATTCGAGGCGGGGTAATTATTTTTGCCACATCTTGATTTTGTATGTCAATCTCGGTATCAACAAAAAGAACTAGTTTTAGTTTTGTTACCAATTTAATATATCTATTCTGTTTGTAATACTTAATCTGAGGTTTAATTGGTTATTAAAAATCCTAAATATTTACATTCTGAGTACTATATCGGAGTTCTATTTTGGCGGAAATAAGTAACAAGATTTAGTGCAACCTTTGGAAAGGCTTGAACCCTTGACCTCTAGGGAGGTTGGGCTCTATCGGCAACCTGGACGCTGCTGGGCGAACACCCTTAATTTTTTTAGGCTTTCTGGAAACTGCTATGGTTGCAACATGGTTATTTGATTGGTGATGAATTAAGATAACCTAAGCTAGGACAGGTTCTTGTATCTTCTTAGATTTTAAATTTATATTATTTTAAAGATATTTACCGGTGTCTGGTGATTTGGTTATTGTAGTATTGTGATCCGGTAAAATAAACTGCCATGTTTTCATGAGCAAATCCATTTCATTTGAAATCGTAAAACTAAATTAGATGTTATCTTTGATCTACGTGTTCATGCACTTTAATTCACTGAGCATAAGTTAACTGGTAGTGTAATGATCTACAGCCTATTTCGTGGTTGAGCTTTCTTTTGCTGGTTGCCAGCGGAGCAGGGGTTGTCTTCTACTATGATCAGGAAAAGAAACGACATATTGAAGGTAGATAACTATGGTGAGTAGGATATATGTATAGCTTCAGGGTTGATTTGGTAGACTATCAGACTCTAATATATTTATCTGAACTGCTTTTCCTTCAGTCTCGTTACTAATCAATAGCTAAGAAATCTTAATTAGTTACCTGAAATCTTGCCGGAAAAGTTTCAAGAAGATGAGTTTATGCATATCCTATGAATTTCTTGGGATCTGGATTGATATTTGATATGCTCACCAACCATTAGCTCTCCTTGTAAATTTGTTACCTCAACCAACACGTGCTTCCTATATGTCGTGTTAGACTTATAACAGCCTTGAGCTTTTTTAGACTTGTAGTTGTCTTTCGATTAGATTAGACATTAGTGCACTATTATCTATAAGAAGAAGAAAACTGACTAGAGTACAGTTTCACATGCATTTCCAATATTTCAGCATGTTATATTGCTACATGTGTTAGAATCAGGGATTTGGGTGATTAATATGGCTTGGCCTAATAAATCAAATTTCTTGCTTCCAACCATGGACTTCTCTCATTATTGTTGCTCATTATTTCCAATCACGAGCTTAGATATCTCTAACAACTTCTAATTATTGAACCCTGTGAATTGTGTGAAAGTAGGATACTCCAAATTTGGGAGTCAAAAAGTTTTGTAAAACGTTCTTGGTGGAAAAAATATGTGTCTAGGATTGGGCCAGGAGGGTCTCTTAACGCCTTCTTTTTTTTCCGCCAAGATCTCTTCGTTAGTTGGGGGAAGAATCCGCCCGAGAAACCATGAACCAGAATAGAAGAGCTTGCCCCACCCAAGGGTGTAGGATCGAATTCTGGCGGGTGCGTGTCAGTATGGAATAATTTAGAAATTTTGTTCCCGTTGCTGTGGTGCAACATCAAGAACACTTTTTGCTTTTCTTCTTAAACTAGCAGGGGTCGCTACCTTTGTTCCCCTTACCATAAAATAACTAACTCCGGATGCTAACAATCACATTGATTGAAATCTAGTCAAACTCACCATCAATATTATGCGTACATTATGAATTTTCTAAGCTTCTATATGGTTATTTCAGCTAACTTTGAGGATATGTAATATGTGAAGCCATGTTTGTTGTCACTTATAGACTTGTGCAAGGAGGAGATTAACTGAAAATTGCAGAGGTGGCAAAAATAGGCTGGTCGGGCTAGTTTGTATAAGGGATCAAAATGGATGATAATAGGTCAGGTGGCAAATTTTTTCTATGTTAGAATAGGTCATGGTTTAAATGGATTGGGTCGACCAGTTGGTGCCTGCACCTTTCTCTCTTATATCTCTTGCAAAAAACAATTGACAGGAAAACACACATTCATCAAGAAACAAAAAAAAAGTGAATTTATATAAATTAATTAACATATTAAAACATCAAATTGTATTTCTTAGATAACAACTACTGTATTGTAAATATAACATTATATTTATATATTGATGAGAATAGTTTGATTTAGACTATATTAACTTATTTTTGACTTTATCAGACCCGCTTGAGGTAAAAAGTTACGCCTTTGTGTAAATTTTGGACTTAAAATTAATTGATTTGAATTTTCAAATTGACTAGAACTGGTTGTATAAAAAGTCTCAATTTCTGTTAGCATTGTACAAAACAATAATAATAATTTAATACGAAAAAATGAATGTTAGCGAGTGCCTTCCAAGGTTCAAAATAATAATTTAATACGAGAAAATGAATGTTAGTGAGTGCCTTCCAAGGTTCAAAATTGCATGAGGCTTGGCGTGACGGCAACCTCAAGCCTTAGGCCTTACACGCCATGGTGAGAACATGGCTTTTTTAAGGCGTGACATAAGATGACAAATCTGTATGTCATATATATAATTTAATATATGTACGTATATGTTTTCTACTTATTATTCAATAATATAATGAATGATATTATAACTTTGTACATTCTTATATATTAATTACTGTTTTATATAAAAAGTTTGTGATCAAATATTCAAATAGAATTGGACAGTTTTACAACTTTGTTTTAACCGTGAGCCCATGACATGTTTGAATCCAAGAAGTTGTGAGTGATGTGATTAACTAAGTTTGTAAATGTATAAAATCTAAAGTTAAAAGTGTAAAAACACATAAGTCAAAAAAATTAATTTTTTTTTAGAAGAATCACGTCTTGAAAAAACGCCATGTGAGCCCTGCCTTACACAAATCTATGGGCCTTATCGTAACGGCGGAGACCCGTCTTACGCCATGGCATGCTTTTTTGAACACTGGGGCCTTCAAATAATTGAAGCAATCACATTAGAGTAAGAAAAATTGTACTACACAATTGCCACCAATTGGCCATTGCTATCTATAGTTTTACCCATTTGATCCATGTTTATTATTGCATTATCAATTTGATGGCCATTTGAACTACAAGTCATAATACCTAAACCTATTGCAAAACTTCTTTCTAAAACTAGTAGGCTGAAGGGTCAATTTTCTTCAGAATTGTTTGCTTTTGCTACTTGTACAAAATACAGTTGTAGGTTTTAGGCAATGTTTGAAGTAACTTATAGACTTGTGGAAAGAGGAGATTGGAGAAAATATGATCATAGATTTGTCTGGTTCAACAAGAGCTTCCTATGATTGCAAAAACTCCACAAATAGGGAACTAAGAAATAGTAGCTTACCCAAAAAAATGTAACAGTAAATGAAGCGATTCTGCACTTATCAACTTCCTATGGGACTTACTGTAGTAACATACTAAAATCCTGTAAAAGACAGTCTGATCATAAAGCAAGGTTTGTTAGGTGATGCAAGTATCGAGATTCTGTGTACAACAATACATACATTGTCCATCGAGTTAAAGATGTATGCATGTTCCATAATATGTTTCTGTGTAAAAGGAGATGTGACATAACTATTGTCATAATTGTGGAAGCAGAGAACACGATATCACCCTGCTCCTCCCAAGCAAGATAGTGGGCTGACCCATTGGTGTATCACCTTGAGATTACAAATTTAAGAAAGCAAACCCACACTTATTATCAATTTATCAAAAAGGTGAGGCTGTAGGTCATACTTATATAAAAACGGACATTTCTGTGTTGTCTCATGAGAAGGGCTCGGTTTTCATCATTTTCAGAAACCAAAGTTCAGCCACATAAAACACACACACATATGTGTGTGTGTGTATGGAGAGAGAGGTTCAGGGGAGAACCTCAAAAGAAGAACCAAAGAACTTATCAAATCGTTAGATTAATTGATCCAAAGGATGTGATTAGAGGGGTGGTTACAACTTATTTCTATTTCAACCCCCTTATATTTTTAATGGAAAATAGACAAAATATAATCTGAAGTGGAGCAAAACAAATTACACATAAAAACAATTTGTAACTTTTCATCAGTTTTTTTCATGGTAGGGTTCTTTCTTTTTAGGGTCTACCATGAAACCCCCCTCTCTATATATATCTCATTTAGAAGTAGGGTCAGGGGGTAAGATGTATGCCGACCTTTTCTCTATCCCAAGGAGTAGAGAAGTTGTTTACATGAAGACCTATGACTTGCATAAAATGTTTTGGGATGCCATTAAAACTTTAGAAGATTTTGAAAGTTATTAAAGAGAACGAGACACTATAGAATATGTTTAAAATTAGTGTGCCAAGACGTGGTACAGTAGGAGCAGTGGATCAATAGAACAATTTGGCAAGTAAGTTCGCTAGAATGCAAGGTCCTAGCTAGCTATCACACATAGGGCACTCCTAACTACCACAGAGAGCCCCCTTTCTAAGTTCTATCTATCCCTGGAAACTGTTGACCTATTCATCGGCTCTATAACCCTCCCCCCACCCTCGTCCTGCCATTTGCAATAGCTAATAGTCCCTAAGAATAATCCGTTACCCCAGTCATGTGTCTTCATGAACTCCTATCAGAAGTCATCTCCTTTGAGAGGTCTAAGGCAGCCACCGCCTCAGTTGTTCATCCCACCATTCTTCTTGATCTTCCCTTCCTCCTCACCCCTTTGACTGTTACGCTCTATTAGTCCCTTGTGTTGCTAAAAATTTCTGCCAACCTTAAGCATAACACTTTTTACATGTTTTTTTTTCCTAATCTTTATATCTATGAAACTTTTTTAGTTGGATATTATTGTTGTCAATGATTTTATAAATAAACCGTTTTTAATTGGACATCAACTGCTTTTAAACATATCTTATTGAACTTACATTTTCTCTACATTACATATATTTTTTGTTGTCTGTTGCTCTTTAATAACTTTTCAAATTCTTCTAACTTTGTTCTTGACTTCCTAAAGCCTTTCCTCAAATCGGGTTAACAACCTCTCTTCTTATTGGAGTAGCGAAAAGATTCGCTTACATTCTACCCCCCAAATTAGACCTGAATTCTGAGTGGGATATAGTGGATACATTTGGTTTGGTTTTATTAATTTAAAATTGTATGCAAACACTAAACTTAACTTTTCTTTAATCTTTATATTGATCAAAGTTTTTTTAATTGGAGATTAAGATCAATTGTTGTTAATAATTCTACAAGCTTTTTTGAGTCGTGAAAATTCTGGTTGGCTATTTCTGTAATGTTAATTTAACATCTAACCCAACTAAGAAATATACTAATAAACAATAATCTTTTGTTATTTCTTTCTTGAAAATTTCCATTTACTATCAAGTAATAGATGTTGATCAGTTTATCATGTCTAGAGGCAAATCTACTTCTTGAATACACAAGTTCTTGTACGTTGATTTAATACTATTTGGAACATAGCGTAATTTTTTTTGGGGGGATGCAGTTAAATTCAATTCTGTGACCTTCAATAAGTTTGTATCCAATTCAATTGTTATTGGTGATGCTCTTTTTATTGTTGTTGCACACCGATGAAAATAAAATGGTTTACCTCAATTTTGAAATCAAAACTCAAGCATTTGTATGATATTGATGTTTATGCATGATTTATTTGTGGTGTGATTTGTCAACTCATAGAAAAGTTGCAATTTTGACTATAGACATGATGTAAGTAAGTAATTTGTCTTCCTCTAAAATATTTAAAATACTCGATCTCAATTACTACTAGATCATTGTAATGATGGAAATAAGCAAATGCAAATTTTAAGATGGAAAATCTTCAAAGAAGATGTTGCAATGTTCTAGGACATACAAAATTATTGTAATTTTCATGATATGAAATGTGTAATTTTAATATGAGAAGTTTCAAAGAAGGTGACACCACACGTCGATAATCCTGCTTTTGCACTTAAATGAAACAATTGCATCCTTTTCTCTTCTTTCCTCCCTCCTTAAACAAGGCTTCAAGCAATTGGATTGGTTGTGATTAAAGGACCATTTACATTTCACTTATTTGAAGTTTGCCCACACACCATATTTGGGGGTTGCCCCACTAGTATTAACTATAAAGTTGGTCATCTTTTATGCCTGAATGATGTAATAGAAGCGAAATATGGTAAATGATGTTTGTTATTCTGTTCATTCTTGTGCTTTACCAGTTGTGTTGATGACTCTTGATTTCAGTCGGGAAATTATTTGGTGCTTTACCAAATATGCATCTCTTTCTTATTATAGTTGTTGATATAATTGTTCCCTTACATTGCGCAGCCTATATAACCTTGGCCTTTTGGGCTTTTGCCATGTGTAGTTGTGATTATCATGAGCACTTTGTTATTGCTGCAGATATAAATACTTCTTCAACTGCAGTGAAGCAAGGGCCTTCGGTTGGTAAAGCAGCCATTGGGGGTCCATTCAACCTTCTTGACCATGATGGGATATCTGTCACTGAGAAGGACTTCAAGGGGAAATGGACCTTGATATATTTTGGTTTTACTCACTGCCCAGATATTTGCCCAGATGAGCTACAAAAGCTTGCTGCCGCAATCGACAAAATAAGTAAGTTCATGATCATTCTTATCAAAATCAAGTAAATTAGGGTGATTCGACATGTTAATGGAACCTTATGCCACCATTACCTAATTTAGGGGGTTTTCAACTTAATAAGCTTAATGGGGTTTTAGCTTAATCTCTTAAGCTACATTAAAATGTTTGATTTTAAATTCATACTAAGCGCTGAGCTTAACTTGTTCAGCTACCCCACCCAATCTTTATGTATTAAGCTAGGATTTTTTTTTCACAATTACTTTTGTCCGACAACTTGTAGTCCCATGCCTCATTAAAAAATTATATAGTCTACTAGCAAATGCATAAACTAAATTGTAATCAAACAATGATGCTGAATACTTAAGTATTGTGTGATGATTAATGAACACGTTGAATTAATATTATTTTGAATAATTCATAAAAGGTTTTTTTTACCATTCAAATGATTTATCAAACCACTTTTTTCTTTTCTTTCATTCAGACTATTTTAACAAAAATCAAATGGCAATTCATCTTAATTCATTCAGAAAAATTAATGCTTACCGATGACTTAATCATGGGTGGACCTACTCATAGAGTAGGGGGTGCACGGGCACCCACTCGATCGTCCCATCATAATGGAAATTTTTTCCCGGTCGTAACTTTGCACCCGCTTAATTTTGAAGTGTACTCTTATATGTTTTTAAAACAGGACTTGAAACAGGAGAGTGAGGTTGCTGGAATGGTTGGGGCACTACTTGCCTTCCTTAAGGTCATGGGTTCAAATTTTTTTGACAACAATTTCTAGTTTTTTATATTGAAGAAAAAGGCAAACAAATATACAACAAAAGAATTGAACTCAAGACCTCAACTATAAAATAGCAAAGTCTTACCAATCAACTACAACTATTTTCATTTATAATTGTCTCAATCTTACTTTTATTTCTTTCTTTTTTGGTATTTATCTTCCTCTTTACCCATTAATCTTAAAAAAAAATTTGTCTCGTTCTAATGACAATACATGTTTATCTGAAATAACTTGAAAAGAAAATAAAATTAATTACATTTAACAATTCATACTTTATATGAGTTCTTATTTTTAATTTTTTTGATACTACTTAAAAATCGGTTATTATTCCTCTGTCCATGATGTCATCAAACATATTTATGTAAGAAAGTATAAATTATATATTGTTGTTGCATTTGTTGATCGTTATGGAATCAACCAAAAAAAATCCCGGGGGGTGGAATTCGGCCGAGAACACGCCGAGTGTAAGACGTAGTGTTGTGTCTTGCTCAAAAAGTCAAGGTTGGTTTCATTTGTATAAATGTATTGCATCAAATTGACACAATTGAATTTTCCTCTGGTCAAGCCATGTTGACTTTTCCCTGGGTCAAACCGCGGCTTTGTTGGCCTTTGGTTGATCTTAAAGGTGCACCCGCTCAGAAAAAAATTCCTGGGTCTGTCACTGGACTTAATAGATACATGGCTTAATAGAAAAACAATCTAACAACCCCTTGTATTTTACAATCTGTCAAATACTATGCAGTCTTCCGCTGTTAAAACATGTTCTAGGATGGTGAATGATGATCATGTTTATTTGCATGTTTGCAGAGGGGAAAGCAGGTTTTGAGATAGTACCGGTTTTCATTTCAGTCGATCCTGAGAGGGACACAGTAGAACAAGTGCGCGAGTATGTCAAAGGTATGAAGACAAGTTTTGAACCTTAAAGCTGCTTCTGTGAATCTAGTCTTTTACTTCATTAAGTTTGATACATTATGATTTTCTTTTTCCTGTTTCAGAGTTCCACCCGAAGTTGATTGGGCTTACTGGTCATCCAGATGAGATAAAAAAGGCTGCTCGTGCTTACAGAGTTTACTATATGAAAACAGAGGAGGAAGGCTCAGATGGCTCAGATTATCTCGTTGATCACTCGATAATCATGTAAGCGTACCTTTATTTTGTCTCTTTATTGTTTGAAGAAGTATGCCTTTGTTTTGCAGTGTCTTGCTTAATGTTTATTCTTAGAAACTCCATGTTCAATGTGCATATTATCTTGCCACCTTGGAAATTACTTTTATACCCTTATATGGTTGTTGTCTTTACTTGATTAATGGCATTGATATTGGGATGAACTTAGATGGGAGTTTGACTGATTGATTTAGAACAGTAAAGCCTTTGTGTGCATTAAAGGCAAAAAGAGATGGTCTCTTCACAGCTATTCTTATATCAACTGCCTACTTTGAACTGTCAACAACTTAATCCACATTCTTGAAGTGATTTTAAAAATTTTCAAGTTCAAAATACTGAAAAAAAGATGTGATTAGAGTTGGGTAATCGAGTACCCATTGCAAGAGTCTTAGGTCATGTTTTGCAACCATCAACTAGCTTATTGAAAAAGCCACGGTTGATAAGCTATAAGCTAATTTTTTTAAAAACTATTTTAGATAGTGTTCCAATAAGCCCTAGGGTTTTTCTTTTCTATATTTTTTTATTTTTTTTTCTTATTATGCCCTATATTTTAGAATTGAGTAATTTTTCAACATATGTTTTTAGGTTTGTCATCAAACTTGGGAACTAGCTTTTACCAAACATGACTGGGTTATTAGCCAACATATAGCTTATCCACTAGTTTGAAGAATATAGTCTTTACTGGATTACGTTACTCTTAATCAGGTACTTGATGGATCCGAACATGGAATTTGTGAAATTTTTTGGGAAGAATAATGACGTTGATGCCCTCTCTGAAGGAATCATCAATGAGATCAAGCAGTACAAAAAAGCTAAAGCGTAAATGCTTTTAGCAGTCACTCGAATTTTGCGCCTGGGATGTGCAAAAAGGTAGATGGGTCTACTTTTCTGCAGTCTCCATATGAAGAGGTATGGTTATGAACTGTCTCCTTTAACTATACAAAGATTGTTTAAGATGGATGACATCTGAGTATATTTTTTTTCTTCTTGGAAGGGATGATAGTATTAATTGGAATTAATCAAGTAACATATGTCCATTGTTAACTATACTTTAGTTCTTAATAAGTCCATTAATTAATACATACACAAAAATTCCATATGTTTGTTGGTTTCTATTATGATTATTTGTTTCTGCATCAGCTGATAGCAGATATAAATATAACCATTATGTTTTGGAAAGTGCATCACATCATCTAGTCTTGTTGGTGATGGTGTTTGTTCTGCTCATGGAGGGTCGAATAGGATCGAATCAGTTCATCTATGAGTTGTTCTATGTATGTAGACTTGGGACTCAACAAGATCGAGTGAGACAAAAATGCATTTTTTCCCGTCCACCAAAATAGGTGGAACAAAAATCAGGGAGATGGACAAGTTTGATAAATTACTAAACTATCCCCGTCGAATTAGACCTTGCAACCTTGTACAAAATTTTCATCCACCTATTTCACTCTCTTTCCCATACCCATTCTGTCAAGTTCAGTCTCGTCCAATAGTTATTTACTAAAAAAATTATAAATACGCAAAGGTTTGAGAAGTGAGAGAAAAATGACACAAGCCCAAAAGGAAAGGTTTGATTAAGGGGCCGTTTACTAAACGCTTGTCTGGTAAGTGCTTACCGAGTAATTTTTCTTATCTGATGAACATGGCAAGGGTCAAAAATCTTGCCCGGTAAGATCAATGATAAAGATGGAGAGTCTTACTCGGTAAGTGAGGGTGACGACTCTTACCTGGGTAAATTGTTGCATACTCTACCATTTTAATATACTACAATTTTATCCAATAAAATAAATTATAGTGTTGACTTCTAACGGTAAGTGCTTACCGGGTAAGCATTTAGGTAAATGGCCCCTAAGCTTCCATCTAAACCCTAATTCCAAAACTGTTTTAACTGTTTCTGTTATGTTTAGAACGATGGTTAAGCACTGTAATGGAGTGTTGATGTTCCTACAATTTGATCATGTGGGTACCATTGGAAGGTTGGAGTATTCATTCAGTACTGTAGACTGTACACTGTAGACTGTAGTTGTATCACAAAGCTGGGAAGCATTTATTGGAGAAGGTACAATTTTGGTTCTATGAATTTGCCCTTCTTTGTGTTCCACATGGATCGTTGTGAACAATTTCAGTTCAGTTAATATAATTATTCTACAACATGCATGGCTTCCAAAATCTCAACAATGGCGCACCGCATAAACCTCAAACCGTATACGTTGCAGTTTGTCCCTATCACACTTTATGCATACAATCCAAAAATACATTATAAATCAATGATAAAGTGATCCTAGTCCAAAAACATAAAGAGTTTCAATACATCCAGTTCTCAAATACATACTGCCTAACTGAAAAATAAACTTCAAACTAAATTAGATGTGTGAGTTGTAACGTGTACAACTTTTTCTTTCATCTCGATTCGTAAGCCCTGACTTCCGAATGACCGTATGCATGGGATGATAGGACTTTAGACCTTAAAGATAATTTATCAAAGTCCAAAACTTAGGGGCCGTTTACCAAACACTTACCCGTTAAGTGTTTACCGGTAAAATCTAACACTATTATTTACTTACTGAGTAAGATCTTAGTCCACCAAAACGACATTGTATGCAACAATTTACCCGGTAAGCGCTTACCATGGTAAGAGTCGTCTCCTTCACTTACCGAGTAAGACTCTTGGTCCTTGTCTCGTTCTTACCGGGTAAGATTCTTGGTCCTTACCATATTTATCCAGTGAGGTAACGTGACTTGATAACCGCTTACCCGGATAAGCGTTTGCTAAACGGCCCCTAAAGTCCAAAAATATTACATAAATACTAACTAAATTATATATATATATATATATATATATGTTATACATAAAATTAAAAAAATATATACAAAATGTGCAGTGCGGTTTAAACCGCGGTTTGATAACTAAAAACCACAAATCGCACCGCACAGTGCGATTTGGTAAAAATGCAAACCATAAACCACACTGAGAAAGTTCTAAACCGTGCTTTGCGATAAAGTATGGTGTCGATGGTTTGTGCGGTTTGGATAAACATCCCTAATGACTACGATAGTAAATTTGTAATTTCCATTCTCATCTAATTCCCCTTGAATGTAAATGGAAATTTCTTTTTGACAAGTGTAATGTAATTATCGGTGTAAATGAAGAGTTTATTGGACGAAATGAATCAAGGAGGTGTTATGAAAAGTTGATGACACGAAATAGTCTCTTAAATTATGTAACGATATTTTGTTTATTGTTATTATAAATGTAACATGTAAATTGCTTGGATTAACACAACATCTCCAATGGGTCACTAAGGGGGTGTTTGAGATTGCTTATAAAAGCTGTTTTTTAATTTACGGTAAACACTAAGTTTGATATAAATCTCATTATTCACATCTCCAATGATATCACTATTTTCCACACCAAAATTTAATATAATGAATAGTATTATACTGTATTTGAAGTAACACTCTTCATTTACACTATTTTTTACACCACTTTTTCAATTACATTTTTGATCTCTCAATTTTAAGATTTATTATTTTTGTTGTTTAAAGTGTTCAAGTTTTAATAGGTTTATTATATATATATATTATAATTATTTTTATATTAATTTTTTTATTTATGTTTTAATTAAGTAAATAATATACAACATGATAAAATATTTGATGAAAATAAGCTAATATTAAAAGATGAAAACATAATTGCTGGAAATTTAAAAATACATAATAACACTGAAATGAAATTACTAGAAATCTAATAATCTGGTAATTCGCTTCCGGATCCTTCAAGATCATTAAAGATCGGTCCATATGAAGTCGATGTAGGCGGGGTCTGTTGATGTTGTTGTTGAGTCATTTTCTCTAAAATTCGTGCTTGTTCAGTCGCGACATATGCTCGTATGTTGGGATCATGTATTGAATTCACATCCCTAAACAATATTTTATTTTCTTCTTTGGTTTGTTGCATTTCCAAAAAGAGTTCCCTTTGTGTCAATGCCTTTTTCAATTGCTCTAAAAGTTGTCGATTTTCTTCTTCAATGTTATTGACGAGCATTGATGTTTGGTCATATGTTTTTCGTTTCAACTTTGCTTTTTTCACCCTTATGTATTGGTCGTTGAAATATAGAACCACCAATGTAAATATATCCATAGCCAACATGTAAATTATTTACTACAAGGGTGAAAAGTAGCTAGCCAAGAAGTGAAAGACTTTTCATATTCTTTTCCATTATCCAATACATGCATTTGTCCTTTTCTTATCAAAGATTTCTTTCCATTATCCAAATACATAAATCTAGTGAAAACTACAACACATTTTTAATTATCCAATGCATGCAGTGTCCAGACATTTGTACTTTTTACCATATATTTCTTTTTTATTATCCATCACTAATAACAACTTGCTCATCCAACACATTTTGAATCAACAAAATAATCAGGTGGCTCAATACGGGTATTAATTGTAAAGTTAATAAATATAAGGATATATAAATTAATATAAAAAGGATTTGGTGATAACTATAAAAATAGGGTTGGTTACTCATTGGAGAAGATTTATTATTAACACTAAATTTTACACTACTTTTGATATTTGGTGTAAAATATAGTGTGACCCATTAGAGATGTCCTGATACGATGTTTTTAACCAACAAATGTTGGTGATTAGATTATCCATTGATATAAGATATCGAAACGAAGTTGTCAAAAATATAAAAAGCATAAGAAGGCTAGGCATTTAAGCAAATCTTATGCGATTTGCTTGTCTTCTAGTAGCCTTACAAGACTAAGGGGCTGTTTATCAAACGCTTACCCGGTGAGCACTTAACGGTAAGAGTCAACATTCTCACTTACCTTATCGGGTAAGATTTTAGTTCGTCAAAACGACACCGCATGCAGCAATTTACCCGGTAAGTGCTAACTAGGGTATGCGTCATCACTCTCACTTACTGGAAAAGGCTCTCGGTCCTTGCTATCACTCTTACCGGGTAAGGTTCTCGGTCTCGGTCTTTGCCATGTTCATCTACTAAGGTATAAGTGACCCAGTAAGCACTTACCGGGAAATCGTTTGGTAAACGGCCCCTAAGAAATTTTTGAATGTGTTTTAACTTGATAAATACCTAAAAGCAAGTATTAATGAGTCATTTATCAAATGGTTATTGTGTGTTGCTTATATTAACGGATGGCCATGTCAAAAACTGAAAATCTTACTTAGTAAGAGTTATAGCGATAACCAATAATTTTACCAAGTGAGTGAGACGACTCTTATTCAATTATGTTTACCGACATTTCATTTGATGACCGAGAATGTTACCCAGTAAGGTAAGTGATGGTGGTTACTCTTAAGTTATAAGATACCTTTCCAATTTACTCCCTTCATCCCAATTAAATGTTCACATCTCTATTTTAGTTTATCCCAAAATAAGTGTCCACTTTTAAAATTGTGTATTTTCCTATATAACCCTTATTTATCTGATGGAGAAAATTTCTCTCACTATTATTAAGGGGTAAAAGTGTCATTTAGGTGACATTTGTTTTTAAAGATGCTGAAATTTGAAGTCTTATTTCACTTCTGATTGATAAAAGGTCGTGCCGAAGTTTGAAATCTAAATCAATAAGATTGTTTGTTTTTGCAAACCAACAAACTTCTGAAGTTTGAAATTTGAATCAATAAGATTATTTGTTTTTGTAAACTGACAAACGTCTGAATATGTATAATTGTTTATTTTATCCCTCAAAATGTTGTTGAATTTATAAAAACATCAATTCATTTTAATTATAGATTGTACTTCCATCCATTTCTGACACATTAAAAAATTCAACTGAAATAAATCAATTGATTCAAACACAATAGAAAACATGAACAAAGTCTCATAACAACTAAAATCAATATTAATTTTGCATTAAATTGTGTCGCAAAATCTTCTTTTAAACTAGCCATATACGTTTGGTCATCGATACTCCTATGCGATTGAACCTCTTCAGCCTCATCCTCGTCATCGTCCCCTTGCTCATTGTTTTGATCATATTCAGAAAATAACTCATCACTTAAACCTTCCTTTCGTATGAAGTTGTAAGCCGCAAAACATGCCATAACAACGTCTCTTTGAACCTCAAATGAAGATTTTGTCATTTCTTTCAGGACATCATAAGCACGTTCAATAACATTTCTAAGTTTTGCATGTAAATGATAAAACTTTTCATACTTGTTCATTGCACGTCGACAATGAAAATCTCCAAGCCAATAACTAACATTACAATATGGTGCCATAAATCCTCGAGTACTCATATACGTGACATCAAATAGGTAATATTTATTTGAAACTATAAATAAAATAGTTATTGATATGAATATGGTAAATATATTACCTCTAAATCGTTAGCATACCTGAAGAAGGAAATGAAAATCCAATAGCACAATCTGTTAAATCTTTGAACAAAACTCTGTAATCATTTGCAACCCATTTCCACCCGGCAACAACAAATGTAAAAACAATGTTGAAGTCACAAATTGCCAAAACATTCACCATTTCTTCGTCCTCTATATAAACATTGTTCTTTAATAGAGACGATAACATGTGTTAAAGTTTCATCAAGGGCGTCAATTACTCCCTACATTAAAGCTAATAGTCAAAATAAATTCATTAAGAAAATTTATACAACTATTATTTTTAGTCACCTTACATGTACATTCTCGTCCATCACTAAGTAGCACACAAAAAAGAATTACAACCTTCATGTAATTACGAATAAGAAACAAATATTGCATTTGATTTGATAGAATCAAAACACATAAATCAAGTAATTGCAAATATGAATCACATAGCTTGCACATGATATTCATAATAGTAAGTTCCCATCTCATTCACAATTGCCATAAATTATGCATTGTGTTGTCAAATAGATTTTTTTTTATTGACCTGGATATCCAACCTGCTATGCGAGCCGATTAATCCTAGGACGACCGCCTGCTTTGCAGATAGCCTAGAGTCACTGCATTTGAACCTCCATGACCACAAGGGGACTTTTATTTCTCCTTGGATTTGAACATGAGATCTCCAGATACTTTTGACCTTTGGAGCCAAGCTCAAACCAATTAGACATCACCCTTGTGGTTAGATTTTAACACAAGTGTATTGTGTAAATATGTCCTCAATCAGAGTTACATGTTTGGATACCGACCAACCATGATTTTCGAACTCCATTGAAAGTGATACTCTCTCTGTCCCATGAAAATTATGATGTTTGACATGGTACGTAATTTTAAAATGTTTGATTATTTATTAAAGATGAGATATACAAAATGGATTGTAGATCCCATTTACAATTCAACTGCTTACACCACAAGATGGGATACGTGTAACAACTTAGACCATTTTAACATATTCACATGTGATTATAGATCCCATTTACTTGAATTGAGATGGGATCTACAAAAAATGGAGTCGAAAGAACCGAGATAAATTGTGGATAGGAAAAGATATTATGATTGTGGAACATCTAAGCAAAATACTACTATAATATTGAACATGATATTGTAGAACACCTAAGCAAAATCACCATATATTTCAATACTCGAAAGTTCTTGGTGTATGCATCTAACATTCAACATATTAGAGCGACATATGTGTTAGTTCAATTACAACCCAGGAAAACCCACAATAGAGAATCTAAACATATTCAAATCATAATGATTTTGAGTCTGTACCACTCAAAAATCGTGAAGATTCAAAACAGAGACGACATACGATTTGGGTAGACAATCGTAAAGATTCAAAACATATACGAAATAGAGCAATAAAGATTGGGCATATTCACGATTTGGATCTATACCACTCAATCAAAATAGAAATTGAAGATTCGAAACAAATTCAAGTTCATAATGATTTTGGGTCTATACCACTCAAAATAGTGAGGATTCAAAACGGAGACAAAATCAACATTTATCTAGAAGGAGGACGACTTACCTTGAAGATTTACGATTTTGGTCGAGATCCGTTAATCAATCAACTAGTTTTCAACAAATTTGGGTCGAGATGTATGAAGATTCATGATTTGGGTTTGAGAGAACTGGAGGCGATGATGGCAGGGTCTAAGCGAATAAGAGATTAGGTTACCACTTTTTTATCCATACCATTTTAAAAGATAAGAAAAAACGGTCTGAATTCAAAACATCTGACTAAATCAAACATAAGTGGTGATTAACAGGTAAAAACAAAAAAACAAACAAGGCTTAATATTCATACATTTCTAAAACTGTATATATTTTCATAGTGAATATCTATTTTGGGATGGAGGGAGTAATACTTATCAAGTTTTCTACCAATGTGGGGTAAACTACACTAAAATGAAATGTTAAGTTCGAAAATGTCATATTATTCCGAGCTGTTACTATATACATTCAAGAACACAAAAAGGAGTCTGATTTTGATGCTAAGGCGAGTCTTTGAACCGTACTTCCGTTTGGTATGCCAAAAACGGAGTTAAATCGTTCGGATCATACTGTAAACACCCTTAAAACTAACCCTAGTTAGAACTAGGTTTGAACCTAACCCTAGTTAGTTGGTCAATTTAAAAAGTCAAAATAAAAGATGAAAAAGGGTCAAAGTCTATGATGACATAAGAGTGTCACCCGTTAGAGCTAACAAAGGGGGAAGCCAACAAACGTATCGAAGAAAAAGAGTTATCTCTTTCTAAAAACTGCCCATAACACTCCTTGGCTTCAATGGCTACCATGGCTTCTTCTTTGCTCAATACTGTCTCTTCTTCTATTAGACTCTCCAATTCCAGCTCAAACCCACGGCGTACTTTATCATTGCCAACACCCATTTCTCTCTCTCGTTCTCGTAAGCTCAATCCCAAGCTTTTTATAAGTTTTTCAACTTTCAGATTAGCTGCTTGTATGTGCGTTTAAGATTCGTTTACTTTTGATTGAATTGATTAGGGAAAAGGATAACAACAATCAGAGCAACGGAGACAGATGCAAACGAAGGTTTGTTGGGGGGATATAATATCCATTTAACTTGATTAAATGCTCCTTCTATGTCCTAAAAACGCTACACTTGGATTTTTGTGGTCAAACATACTAGCGATTGCTATTGATTTTGATTGAAATCAGCGACGAACGGTTTAGAAATCTATATAAATTACTATATCAAAAAATGGTTTGACATCCAAATTCAGAGTGTATGTTTCTGGGTGTTGAGCTTGAATGTGTATTATTGTTTGGGATTAATCTTACTCTTTGTTTTTTTCCTTCTTTTCTTGGGTTTTCTAATGCAGTTAAAGCTAAAGCACCAGAGAAGGCGCCGGCTGCAAGTGGCTCGGGCTTTAATCAAATTCTTGGCATCAAAGGGGCTAAGCAAGAAACTGTTAAGTTTTTCGTTTCTTTTGTTCTTCATGTATTATGATTTATGAATCTATTTTTATTTATTTTCTGTGCTTACTGAAGTGCCCAATCAAGAAGCTTTGAGTTTCTTTTGCTTCTCAATTACACTTTTTCATTGTTTTCAACTATACCACACAACTAATCGACTTGTGATTACCAGCTTGGATACCGATTCTACTACACAGTGTCTTGAGTTCTTTCCCCATCATGGTTTTGCTGAAGAGCAATATTTTTAATGTAGTGGGATTGATTATTTAGGCTAACACTCACCTCGTTTAAGCTTCATTTTGGATCTTAACAATGCTTTTTGTTTGCTTTTGTTTTTGGTACAGGATATTTGGAAGATCCGTGTTCAACTTACAAAGCCTGTTACCTGGCCTCCATTGATTTGGGGAGTAGTCTGTGGAGCTGCTGCTTCTGGTAATTTACACTCTTTTTGAGTTGGAACATCTTCAAGGCAACTAACAAGCCACATTAAGAGAAACCTGTTGAATCTTGAGATTTTGAAGTGAACATTAGGCTATTCATTTCGTGTATAAGCCTTATCTGCATAAAGTTTATGAATTAGTTTAACTGTCCCCCATTCACAGAATGAAACTGTTAAATGGCTAAAATGAACTGAATCTCAAGCCACTTGGGGACATCTGAATGCTTCCAGAACTGTATTCTATTATGTATGCGTTTATAGCTAAGTGATTGTGATAGAAAACTCTTGAAACTTTTGATACTTACCTCAAAACCGTATGTGACTATAGATTATGAATGACATAACTTTGCTTGGGTTGCAGGTAACTTCCATTGGACTGTGGAAGATGTTGCTAAATCAATTGTTTGCATGATGATGTCCGGCCCATTTTTAACTGGTTACACACAGGTAAATATCTCATGCTAACAAGTTACCATCTCCCAATTTTATGCAACTTTTTGACGGTCAAAGTAGATTAGTTCATCTTCTTATTCCATTCTTTAGACAATCAATGATTGGTATGATAGAGACATTGATGCTATAAATGAACCTTACCGGCCAATTCCTTCAGGAGCCATATCTGAAAATGAGGTCAGCTTTTTTTTATCATGAATTTGAGTATTTCCTTCATTATTTTATGGGATTCTCAGTTGGATCTTTTCTACACCTTCAGGTCATCACTCAAATTTGGGTGCTTCTTCTAGGAGGCCTTGGAACAGCTGGTATATTAGATGTGTGGGTATGTCTCATCATGTGCCTTTCAATTTTGATTTTGCACTTGACATCATTTCCTAAGGACCATTCTGTTTCAGGCAGGGCATAACTTCCCCTCAATATTTTATCTTGCTCTGGGTGGATCGCTGCTATCTTATATCTACTCAGCTCCGCCTTTAAAGGTAAATTCCTTCTCATGTCTAACTTAAATGTCCTCTCCATATAGAAAAACAATAGCCATGTTTTTCTTTTTCCTCTTTGAAGACTCGGGAAATCTCACCCAAAGGTGAGTAAATTGAGGGGGTAAAAACTTCTCTCTTGCACCCATTAACGTACCCCACAGTCACTCACTGGACAACCCACATTGGATCTGATCAGACCTCTAGGTTCTCATGAGTAAGCTCTAACCATCTGAACACACAAAGCTTGTAGCCCTATTTCCAGCACAATTATTGTGTTTAGAGGCATTTTGTGACACTATTTAGCTGGATTTGATCATTCTGCATATGAAGCAAGATCACACACAAAAAGTAAAAGGGAAAAAGAAACTCTTTTGCTCTTTGAAGCCCAATGGCATGATTTTGTTTTCCACTGTATTTATATAAAAGGGGCAAAAGGGCAACTGGTCTAGCCATTTCTTTTTTCAGAATTCTTCTTAAACCGAGGGAAGTAATGGAACATGTAATTGGGATAGTAGGAGCATCAACTAAAATGAATTTGGTTTGAAAGCAAAAACCTGACTATAATATTCCTTTTGTGATTGCAGCTCAAACAGAATGGATGGATTGGCAACTTTGCACTAGGCGCAAGCTATATTAGCTTACCATGGTTTGATTTCTTATTCCATACCTCTTTGGTTTGACGGTCATCATCAAGTAATATGTATTACGTTTGCTTAAGTTCAATCTTCTGATACCCCTTTCATGCTTGAAAACAACCCCTCTACTCTTTGGGGTAGTGGTCAAGTCTGTGCATACATCTTACCCTCAGACCCCAACTCCGGGTGGTATATTAATGGGATCGTCTGGTTTTTATGCGTGGTAAACTTGTGTTTGACTATGACAAACCCTGAACTTCTCGAAAAGTTTAAGTTCATATGGACCCTTTTAAAATAGAAGCATACAATTGTTTCTATTTGTATGCTTGCATGCATAGTTTTCAATTATCTTTTAAATTTAAGCAAATGCAGATCAGTTTTCAAGTTTAAAGTCCATTGCAATATTGAAAGTCAAAGTTGAATTCTTTCTTTTGTGATAGACAGAGTAATGCTTTCCTTTATGGTATGTTTAAAACTGAAACCTAAGTTGAGTTCAAAATTGAAACTACTACGTGCTTTAACTCCAAATCTAAAAGCCACGCTCATCTACTTTGAACTCTTCATGACAGGTGGGCTGGTCAAGCATTGTTCGGAACCCTTACACCTGACATAGTAGTTCTCACACTATTGTACAGCATAGCTGGGGTATGTAAACTGAATTACCATATTTTATACTCCTCCTTCCTGTTAAATTGCAACAAATTCCATTTTCCAGGATGCCTCCTTGTTACTATTTCCAACATTTCTTATTTGGAAAAATATTCAAGTTAAAGTTGACTATTTGATTAGTATCATCATTTATAAAAAACAATGTTCAAAAACCCAGGCCATTCCTTGACCCAGAATTCTTAGCAGGGAAGGGGTCAGTGGGTCAATTGTGGTTTAATCATTATTGACCTGTAACATCATAAATTAATATTGAGAAATAGTATTGATATTCCTGTTTTTTCGTCATTAAAGAGTATTTTAGGCATTTGATTAATAGTTGAGCGCTTAAATTAAACCATGCTTGGATTCACTTGCTACAAAGTTTTATGGGATGAGTAAATGATAAATGTGAATTATAATTGACCTTTTTTGCTGTTTTTTCTCTTCAAATTGAAGCTTGGTATTGCGATAGTAAATGACTTTAAAAGTGTCGAAGGAGACAGAAAAATGGGACTTCAGGTATTTCTCTACACTTTCTTTTGCATTGTCATATAATTATGTTTGACTTTGATTTAAATCACGATGATTTTTGACTTTATGCAAATCTGATCAGTCCCTTCCAGTGGCTTTTGGCGAGGAGACTGCTAAATGGATATGTGTTGGTGCCATAGACATAACTCAACTCTCTGTAGCAGGTTTGACCATTATTTGTATTTGGCTAATGATTCGATATTTTCCCACTTAAATGTAGGATAACAATGAAGTTAGTAATGCTCCCCTCCATCCAATGAAAAATGCAATGAGTTCAATTTTGGAATTTCCCATTTAATGCTATGGTTGTACCATTTAGTTGTGATGACTTGTTGCAACAAACACATCAAATTTTCAGTAAATGGCATAACAACTCTCTAGCACATGCTGCACCCATATAAGGTGTAAGAAAGTGCTATTCGGTGGTTGTACCATGTCAGCATGATTACATTACAATCTTTAGATTCAAGTTTTTCTCATCAACTAGAAATCAAAAATATATTTCTTTAAAAAAAATTAATGTACCGTATAGTTTGTTTCTGGAAGATAAATTCATAAAGCTGAGATTTAATCCTTGTTTCGTTGGTCATGACTACCATATGATTCTGTTGACCTTCAAGGTCAAACCTAGAACTTATGACATGCGTACATAGATACAAAATGAAGATAACACTGCATTTTACTATTCCAAGTACCTAGTTTATTATTAACTACTTTCTTGGTTTATTTTTTTTCCTACTATGAAAACTGAAATCCAATCCACCTCTATCGTCAAATTAAAATGTATCTACTTTTCTGCAATAAGAACAGTATATATATGTTGCCATATTTTGTCCAAACATTGGTTCGAGTACATCTTACCTTCCCCAGACCCTACCTCAGTGTAGAATTTTCTGGATTTGTTTGATTTATTCTACCAAAAGCTTATGCCATTCGTACGTATTATAGAAAATGGTGAATAAATAACGTTGATGAGCTTGATATTTATTCATTTTTGGTCGCAGGGTACCTTTTAGGAGCTGGTAAACCATATTACGCCTTGGCGCTTCTTGGGTTAATTGTTCCACAGGTCTTTTTTCAGGTAAATGAAATTACTTGCAAAATGGCCATGTCACTGCCTTAGATTGCTGAATTTGATTCTTCAAAAGATGGAAGGATATTCGACAAAGTTACAGTGAATAAATTCTACCACCTTCGTCTCATGAAATTGTAAATTTCAACAAGATCGCATTAACTAAACACGTCCACCTTCAGAAGTGTGGCTTCTAAACAAATGTCTACAATACCCTCTTACAGTGACAAATTGTGGCAATACCATTAAGTAGTTAGTAATGATGACACTTGGTAGAACAGTAATTTTAATTAAAAAAATTTCCAAGAAAAGATGTCCGATATCCCATGATAATTATTGCAATTTGCATGAGACCGCAGGGACTACTAAGTTGAGCCCTCGGCAATGTAATTAATAAAGTTTAGAAAAATGTTTTATCAATCTGATAAAGCTTGTTAAGATAGATATGATTTGAAACTGATAGCTACCAATTCTTGTTTCTTGCTGCAGTTCAAGTACTTCCTCAAAGATCCAGTCAAATATGATGTCAAGTATCAGGTATGTCCTCCATAAATCGTAATCATCCCATCACAAAAGTACCCGTTGACCTTTGAGGTCAAACCTATTACTTACCGAATCCATAATTCATATGGATATTGTCACGGAATGATTTTGCATTTACTATGAAGTTGAACACCATCCTCAAAAAAATTCATCAGTTTGAAGTGTTCAGATAAGTTTTTTAGTTAAAACATGTAATCTCAAAAGTCAATTTTAAATTGTTTGGACTCTTTACTATTCAATAAATCATTTCTCGGACTAAAAAACCAAACGGAGCGAACCCAGTATATCCCACTCAAAAGTAGAGTCAAAGAGGAGGTGCGATGTATGGAGATCTGTCCTCAACGTCAAAGGGTAGAATGACCGTTTTCTTCTCTTTGGAAAGAAGTCTGGTCATGATTTAGATGCTAATGTGTATGAAATTTTGGTACTAAGCTGTGTAATCCTTTGGTTTCAGGCAAGTGCTCAACCATTTCTGATTCTTGGTCTTCTGGTGACTGCCTTAGCTACTAATCATTGATATACAGTTTGAAAATGTATCAAGATAACTTAGAAAAAGGTGCGAAGTCCCACATATGGAGGACGAAAACCCGAAGCAAGTTTCACATTCTCCCCATAATTGTTCCCGATTTTGTTTCACTCTTGCTTTTTATTTTTATTTTGGTTGTTAAAATCTCTCTATTTTCGGATGGCCGAGTCGTTGGTGTGATATGAGACGGTGATTGTTGTATATATAGGATTATTTGACAATTAAACTTATGATTTGCCTTTCTTTTTGCTGCATAATTCATGCTTATTTACAATGTTTCTGGATGTGAAAAACCCAAAAATGGTAACCAACAACCCCTCCGGCATCCCAAATCGCCCCCAGAACATCATATAAAAGACAAATCAGTTATGTAGAGGACTCCCAGAACATCGTATGATAAATTTAATTATTTTTATATTTTGTTTTTATAAATTATTCATTAAGAACGTAATTCAATTCCATTCCAAATCCTACAAACCAAACATACGAAAGATTCAACATCCATTTAAGTGTCCCTGAAGAAATTGGACATGTATATTACATCGAAATGAATTGTGCTACACCCTGAGGTTAGTTATTAGCGTCCATCTTCATTTACTTGTATTATACGTCATGAAAACGATACTTTGAAAAATGAGATGATGAGTTTTACATCTCCATTCATCGCTCTCATCTTCATAAAACTTAAATAAGCTAAACTATAAACTTGTTTATTAAGGCGAGTAAATGACTAAAGCGTCGTTCCATCGTGTAACTTGCATACATCATATTTCGCTAAATCGTTTGTTGATAACTTGATATTTTTATGACAATATAACAAATTTAAATAAATGAGTTCTTAAGTAATTGATTCTCCATACGGGTTTGGGTTCGGGAATATCGTTTCGAGTATTGAAATATTATTATTACATCCGTTCGGTAATAAACGTCCACGTTTAATTTAACTTAAGTTGATTTGTTCAAAGATAAGTGTTCGTTTAAAAAAATAAATTTACGTTTGATTATGACACGATAATATGTTAGAGATCGAAAAATGTTTGAAAAATTTGTTCTAAAATTATTGAGGAAATATTTTCAAAAAAGACATGATTCACAATTAATTGTAAGTGAATTACACTTTTAATACTCCATCCGTCTTTGATAGTACATAAAAGACTGATTTGTTTCTCATAATCGTTGTTAACATCTCCAAAGAACCTCATTGTTACGAAATTGAAAAGTTAGGAGCCGTTTACCCAAATGCTTACTTGACAAACGCTTACAAGTAGGAATCAACATTATAATTTATTTTTATCTGATAAGATTGTAGTACATCAAAACGATATCCTATGCAATAATTTACTCGGTAAGCGCTTACCCGGGTAAGAGTTGTTACCCTCACTTATCGGGTAAGACTCTCAATACTTGTCATTGCTCTTATCAGATAAGATTCTTAGCCCTTGTCATGTTCATCTGGTGAGGAAAATTGCCTATTAAACACTTACCGGGTAAGATTCTTTGCTCTTGCCATGTTCATCCGATGAGAAAAATTGCCTATTAAACACTTACAGGGTAAGATTCTTGGCTCTTGACTTTTAAAAGTCAAGTTTGCTACCAAGGAGTCTTTGAAAAGAAAATATGGAAATTTTCTTATAATTATATATGGATGTTGGAATGAGCTTGTAAGAATCACCATTGATCTCACATTGTCTCATGTGAAGGGACTCGAACCGGTGACATTTAATTGACCTATACTTAAGTTAAAATTTGTTCAATAACTCTACATATATAGGAGAAACTTCAAGAAAATTTTGTGATAGTTATGCAGGATTTTGAGTATCGACTCACAACCACTACTAGAAAACTGACTATTTAAGACACCCAAAATCCGCCGGAAAATTAGTGGCAGGTTACCAACACATTTCCAGTGGATGTTAAAAAAGTCAACTTCAGTTGATCTCCATTGGTAATTCGCCATTAACTACTTAGAGAAAATAAAAAAAAAATCATTTCGGTAAGATTTCCAGCAAACATCTGAACTTTAGAATTTAACAGATTAATTAACTCTAGTTACGTTATTTTTCTGGCGGATTTTGATTAATCAAAAAGCCGCCGGTAATCCACCGGTTAAAATAATGTAATTTTAGTTTTTTTCTTTAAATTCGCTGGAAATCCGCCTGAAAAAAGGCCGCGGGTAATCCGTCAGAAAAGCAAGCTGCCACAAATCTGTCGGAAATATTGATTTATTAATTTTTTCTTTTTTTAAAAATTTTAAATTTTATAAGTTAAACATATTTCCAACGACAGATACTTATCCACTGGAAATCCGCCGGAAATGTGTTAAAATTATAAAACTTCAATTTTTTTGGTAAAATGTTTTCCACGGATCCGGCGGATTTGTGGCGGATTTTAAAAAAAGAAGGCTTATTTGGTGTTTCTTTTTCCCTTTTTTCATGGTTTTAGATTATATATATAATATTTGTATATATACCACATAGTAAATATAGTGGATCATTATTCTTTTATTGAATGCAATACACACACATACATGTGCAATATATACCTACATATAAACACCTAATCCTATGTCATTGCATATTATTGGTTTTTTAATAAATCATAAACATGGGCTTTAATGGATCTTAGTTGAACCAAATACACACCATATACATATATGCAATACATGTATTCTCAAAATACCCAATAGGTCACCCCAATGATTATAAAAAGGATCCATTGTGCTTTAATAGACCCATCGGGTTTTAATAGATCTATTGGACTTGGTCTAATTGGGCTTAAATAAATGTTATTAGGTTTTAATGGATGTTAGTTGCGCTTTAATGGATGCTAGTTGGGCTTTAATGGTTCTTGTTGGGATTTAATGGATCTCTTGGGCTTTAATTGATCTATTGGGTTTTATTTAGTCTTATTAATTGATGTTAGTTGAGCTTTAATGGTTGTATTAGACTTTATTTGGATCTATTGGGTTTTAATGGATGTTAGTTGGACTTTAATGGATCTATTGGGCATTAATGGTTTTTGTTGGGCTTTAATGGATGCTAGTTGAGCTTTAATGGTTCTATTAGGCTTTATTTGAATGTTAGTTGGACTTTATTTGGACTTATTAGGCTATAATGGATCTATTAGGCTTTAGTTGGATCTATTGAGCTTTAATGGTTTCTTGCTGGGATTTAATGGATCTATCGGGCATTATTTGGTTTTATTGGCCGCTGGGAAAAGTGCTTCATTTGATAGTGAACCATGATTTCATATGCTTTGTCGTTGCTATTTATTCCTTGAAAAATACAGATTTGGCACTTTGCAGACCTTCTCGATGCCTACGTCAATGATTGGTTTGCAATCAATCGAACGATTTAACTTAATTACCACCCTAACCTGGTAATTCGAGTCTATGTGACTCATATCTATGTTCTTGGACTCGTACTTTTAATGCAAACATTTCAAAATAGAATCAAACGGAGAATAAATTTTAAACCGATAATATGATATGATATTTTAAAATTGCTATGTTTATCAAAATCAAACAGGTTTAATTAGATAAACTTTTAAAAGCAAAAGATTTTAAGATAAAATCAAATGTTTTTTCTAGAAGGATGGAATGTTTTCCAAAATCAAACATTTTACAAATGTAGACTAAATGCCGCTCATTTAAGGTACTTGTCAAGGCTTATGGATTCTAGTATGGTCAGTGCCTAGCCAATCATACCGGATGATTATCGTGCAAGACAAGGTGATAGGCAACGAGATTTAAGTGAACAGTTGCATAAGCCACTCATAGTTGTGTTTTGCACGACTGATCCCAATAAACCCTAAGTCAAGCATTTAGGTAAGATCACGATACCTTAGTTTGGTAAGTTATTTGGAAATATCAAAGACAGTTGCATTGGCCATTTATGAGGATTTTTAAGGCGTTAAAGTGGGATCAAACGTGCCTAATTTGATAAATGATATATTGAATAGAATCTCACGATCACCTAAGAAATTATGTTGAATATAATTGGATGATTCCTACCCAAATAACTTATTCTCATGAACAATGCATTGGCCATCTATGGAAATTGGTGATATATGTATTTTAGCTCAAATTAAAATACTTTTGAAAGGTTAACTAATTTATTTGGAGATTTTAAAGTTATTAAAATTGATCTTAATTTTGTAGATGTCTGCTAATACCACAAATTATTCAAACTTATCCCAATTTACACTACGGTCAATCTTTGATAAGAAAAAACTGAATAGGTCAAACATCATCGAATGGTTTCACTTCCTAAGGGTTGTCCTTAGACATGAAAAAAAGTTTTATGTTCTAGAGAAACCCCCCCCCCCCCTTTAAACATTTCTGCTAGAACTGCTTCAGTTAAAGTCAGGGTTGCTTGTAATAAGTATGTAAATGACACATTGGATGTTGACTATCTGATGTTAGCCTCCATGACTCCTGAGTTATTGCGGTATCATGAATACATGACTGCTTGGGATATGATTTCCTCATTGAAGTCTATGTTTTAGTTACAAGCTTGGTAGTAGAGGTTTGATACAATCAGGGCAATCCTTGCATGTACAATAACTGAGGGCTCTTTAGTCAATACCTACTTTTGAAAATGATATGGTATCTTAACTAATTAGCCCATCTTTGCTTCCCAGTGAAAAGGGAATTAGCAATCGATTTAGTTCTCAATTCCATAACCAAATCATATGGTCAATTTCATTTTAAACTACAATATGAAAGACTTGATTAAAACTCTCATAGAGCTTCATGACATGCTTAAACCTGCTGATAAAATTATTAAATACAAGTTAGATTTATGCAAACCAAAATAGGCACTTTTGATGATCAAACCTAAAACTAGTAAAGAAAAAGAGGGTGGTTGCTAAGGAAAGAGGAAAAGTCGTAAGTTCCAATAAAGATAAGGGCAAAAGAAAGATTCCCGAGGATTCAGTATGGTACCACTGCAATCACAACGGGTACTGAAAGAAAAACTGCCTAGCCGGCTGAGCAAAAGAAGTAGAAGGCTGTTGTCGGAGCTTCAAGTACGTTTACCATTGATTTTTATTCACTTCAATTATGACTATTGGGTATTGGATACCAGGTGTATACTTACATTTGTACTACTTTACAGGTTTTAAGAAGTGAAGAGAAGATGAAACTAGACCAATCGGAACTAAGGATGGGCAACGGAGCTAAGGTAGTTGTTGTTGCTCAAGGGCACATATGATATGAAGCTGTCATATGGTGTTACCTTCGC